GCAAAATTAAAAATGTTGCAGGCTGTTTTATAGAACCTATTGTAAATGCAAGCCATTCACGCGATTGGCACCGGCTTACTGAACATTCAACGTCGTGAAAATACATTTATACATTTGAGCAGATGTATTCATACGACGGTTATCATGGAACATTTAATAATTTGAGCAGATGTATTCATACGGCGGTTATCATGGAACATTTAATAATTTGAGCAGATGTATTCATACGGCGGTTACATGTATCATGGAACATTTAATATGACACGTGCCATTCCATGAAAAGTCATTACTGAATTATTGATAACATTTTGATGACTGCTATTTATAGAAAACAAATACACTTCATGTTTTGTATGATGCAAGATAAGATCTAGAAAGCTGTCATTCATGAAACATCTTAACATTGCAATCAGAAATGATGTTTATACACATGTATCTGTGCTTTTACTATGTAAGCTTTATATGATAAATCACTCAGAGAAACTCTCATATCTATTGTTCCGAATGGTGCTGGATTTAAAAAAAAATCCCAATTCAAAAGTACCTTTTTTAAAATCAAATGTCAAAATTACACTGTATTCAACTCCTTTTAGAACATCTTAATTGGCATATTTGACTATATTATTTAAGTTTAATCTCATCATCAGTTCTTTCACATATTTTTAATATGCATGTGAAGCCAAATCGATTTTTTCCATTATTTCCCTTGTGAAATTAACCATTGCTCTGTTGTAAAGCGGTGTCAACTAGAACAATTCCCTAGAGTCTGGAATAGTTCAATATTGCATGAAACAAAACGACGTTCACAGCAGAAAATTGGCCGATTCAATCTTATTATACCGTTCTTCCATGCATAGAAACATTTTATATGTTTCATGCAAACAGATCAACATACTTCGTAATCCATGCGCACTCGTTGCGTGTACACTTCATTAGCACGAATTTAGTACCCGTGGGTTCCGACGATGAGCAGCGAACGTTTAAGAATTTTGAATATTGTAATTCGAAGCACATACATGATTACTATTTGGGATGTGAGAGAGATGACGTGTTAGAGGGGATTTACAAAATAGGTGACTGTTGACATCGTAAAAAGTAATGAAATGGTGTCCTTTAGATGGCTAGCTAGATTTCAGATCGTATTGCTCAAAGATTCAAAATTTCGTTACATATCAGAAGTTCCATTTTAAATGATACCAAATTGATGATGCACATAGTGTATCATGATTTTATGTTTGTTTGTTTGTTTTTGCGTGTTTTCTCGTCGGGTGACCCACCTTACTGGCTCTCAGTGATAAACAACTTCTGCTCAAGTGACCGGCTATTATTCCCAACATCAGCGAATCAGCGAAAATCATCAAAAACAAATGACCATTAGACTCAATGTCCGAAATGAATTGTAACCATGGTAACGTAGAACTTTCATCTCGCTTGAGGATTGAACCAGCGCCTCAAGAATTAATATTAATCAAATGATCGAGCATGTGAGGTTTGCATTGCACTGAAGTACAAAATCATTACCGCTGAATATAAATATTCATGTGTCAATGCTTGTATACATGTACTTTTAAATACATGCTATTGCATACAGCTTATATTAATTAGTTAATTGAACATGGGGATATATTTTGCTTTAAACATAACACATAATGTTTCCGGGAAGTTATTAAAAAAATGTTTTTCAAAACAGAATTCACCCTTTAAAATTAATCTCGGAGTAAAACGCATTGCTTGAGTTATTTTCTTCAAACATTATTTTTTATTGATTAAATGTTCCACCGGATATTTGAGTCTATTTTGCCAATGGTCTTCCTAGAATTGCTTTTTAAAGAAGACATTTTTCCAAAATGTTAAGAAACCTTATAATATATCGCTTCAATGAAATATTTTACATTTCTTTCAATTGTTAAAGGAAACTAGTCTATTATACGCAGAGTACAGGCAGGCAAACCACTACCTAAGAATAAATAATTAGTAACTAAAAGGAAACTAATAAATAATTGAATAATAGGCCCATAAAGTCAAAAGGCACAGGGGAAGGGGACACGAGACCCGGGGAGGGGGAAATAAGTAGAAAAAATAAAAACTAGGGGCAAAGGGGAAGATACTTACCGTAGACGAGAAAACAACAAGAAACACAAAAGTGTCACCGAAATGTATGAAACAACATTGGCAAACATCTGAGGAACACAGAGGGGCGCCGCCATGGAACGGTCAGCAGCATAAAACCTTAAGACCATGAAATATGTAAACCAAAAGCATTTTTTGGTTAATAAAAATATCAACCAAGACAACTCCAGTTGTTGAGGTATTGGTCACGTACAAGGTCAATGTGACCTTGACCTTTGACCCAAAAAATTAATAGGGGTCATCTACTATTCATGAGCAACCATCATACCAAGTTTGAATTTCCTAAGCCTAAGAGTTCTTCAGTTATTGATCGGAAACAGTAACAACCTTCAAGGTCAATGTGATATTGACCTTTAACGTCAAAATCAATAGGAGTCATCTACTGCTCATGGGCAATCATCATACCAAATGTAAAGTTCCTAGGCCTAAGCGTTCTTTAATTATTGATCAGAAACAGTTTTTACCTAAAAGGTTAATGTGTCCTTGACCTTAGACCCCTTGACCCCGAAATCTATAGGAATCATGACAAATCATCATATTAAGTTTTAAGTTCATACGCCTGAACTTTCTCTAGTTATTGATCGGAAACCGTTTTTATCTACAAGGTCAATGTGATCTTGACCTTTGACCACGTATCCCCAAAATCATTAGGGGTCATCTCCTGGTCACGAGCAATCATCATATCAAGTTTGAAGTTCCTAGGCCTAAGCGTTCTTTAGATATTGATCAGAAACCATTTTTACTTACATAGTCAATGTAACCTTGACCTTTGACCCTAAAATCAATAGGGGTCATCTCCTGATCATGTACAATCATCCTACCAAGTTTGAAGTTCCTAGCCTTAAGCGGTCTTTAGTTATTGATCGGAAACTGTTTTTACCTACAAGGTCAATGTGACATTGACCTTTGACCCCTTGACCCCAAAATCAATTAGGGTCATCTACTGGTCATGACCAATCAACATACCAAGTTTAAAGTTCCTAGACTTAAGGGTTTTTTAAGTATTGATCGGAAACCATTTTTTCTACAGGCCGACGGACAGACAAATGCAAAGCAATATACCAAAATTATATGCTTTAGCTCCACTTTTCGACGGTCCTCTGAGGCGATGTTGGTTTACTTTTTCGCTAAGGTCCATTTTTTCTGAAACTGTTTAACGTCATTCGCTTCAAACTTTCTATACATGTTTCAAAAGGGGATGTAATCCAAAATTATGCTTTGCAAAGTTATGCCCCTTTTACGTCCTTGTTAAACTTTTTGTTAGGGTGTTTTTTTTCTCAGAAACTATCAGTAACATAAACAGCACTAGCAAGTCAAGGAAATAACACCATTTTCAACATCAGATTTGAAAATTTTCTCAGTTTATGGGAGAAAACATCCCTCCCACACATACATTTAATCTTCATTTAAGCGTAGTTGATCAATGTACTTACAAGTAAAACATGCATATATTATAATATTTATTTAAGACCATTCATACATACATACATACATACATACATACATAGTATAATATAAAATAATTCAATTACATCATTTTACAAAAACAAAAGTTGTTTGTGCACGGCCATTCTATTCTAAATTACAAGAGACTGTGAAATAACATCACAGTGGAAGGGAGGCAACTCTGCAAGGATTTCCAATGTTACTTACAGAGTTACGTCTCTTCTCATTCTATATTCATATACATACTACAAAAAGAAGAAACTATTGTTAATCTTGTTTTTCTGAAAGAATGTTTGGTAAAATTGCTTAATAGTGATAACCCTAGTAATGTTCTCTTACTTTAGACCATTATCACAAATTAATTAGACCTATTAGCACCTATAAAATCCTTTTCTTGATAACATTATTTCACATCATTGGAAAGATAAGAAAAAATATAAACATATAAAACAAACAAAACTTTAAAATTTAAGTAACTGTACAAAATAAATTGTTTTTGCCAAAAATTATTAGTTAGTAACTAATTGTTAACCATGAGTTTGTATATCTTTTTCCAGAGACCTCGAGAGTTTAGTACAAATATCATAGATTAAAAAAGTTATTAAAACATTATCACCATTGGAATCCTTATAAATACATAGATTAGTAACATTTCTCAGTAACTTAATGTAAAGCCCTCACATATGTATGGTAAAATCTTTAATAATTTAAAAGTAACATTATAAGAGACAGTTCTCAGGAATACAACAAGTTGGTTCTAATTTTAAGAATATTGAAATATTGAATATTGAAACTATTTACATACATTATCAATAAATAAAATCAAACAGTTATAAATAGGCATACACATAAACATATCAACAATAAATATATGTAAAAAATATGATAAGATTGTGAAATTATGAACTATCAGATTGCTTGATTTAAAATGAATACGTTTTTTAACTGAACCATATATGTGCTGTTTTTTTAAGTCAGAGCAAAAGACTGAATATTTGCAATAACTTTACTATGTGAGACATATTAGAAGGTAAACATGATAATAATAATAATAATAATAATAACAATAATAATAATAATAATGATAATAATAATAATAATAATAATAATAATAATGATAATGATAATAATAATAATAAAATTATATTATTCGATTGACAAAAACCTATTAAACAACCTGCTTTTCTTACATACTAAATCTCCAATATATAAATGTTAAATAAGAATTCATACCCAAACTTTGAACTACTGTGAATGTTATAAATAAATTCAATTATAATTACATAGCTATAGGTGTGAACATGATTTGATATGTTGCAATAATGTTTTCATTTCAAACATAAAACTTTGAAACATACTCACATATCACTAGTAAGCACATACAAATAATTAAAGCAAAACCTATAATTGAAATATACACTGAGTATATGATACAAAATAATCCTGATATTAAGCTGAAAATATTTGAATGATCAATGAATATGATAATATACAACATTAAATATTTTTGTACAAAAATTGCTTTCCTGAGGTAACAGTCATAAAAGATGAACACATTTCAAGTTATATTATACACATAGTATGACGAATGTAATATTATTTACAATTAATTCATAATAGACTATAAGGCCACGCATGAGCTTCGTGGATAAGGAAATATTATAATCACAATAAATTCCAAATCCCTGATATCATTACTATAATAACAATCGTTATGTTTCTGTATAGGACTAAAACTAGTATAGGGAGACAAGGTGATCGGAAAGCCCATTCGGCAGTGCTGCAGAATATTATACTAAATGTACTGTGCTCTGTCTCAGTCAGGCTGCAAATAGTTCTCCCGGGAGAGTTACAAAAGTAATATTTATCATAAAACTATTACAATATACTAGTTATGTCTGAGTAAAATATATATACAAATCATCTTGACATAATATATCTACTTCCGAACACACCACACATGTATTTCTTTACTTTAAACCTTTTGTACTATTTCAAGGAATTCACTGATGAATGTAAATTTTGTATTTCAATTAGCTTCTATTTTCGTTGAAGATCAAGGTCTGTCATCCAATGAGGGCACCAAATTGCAGTTTTTGGCATCTACGCGATTGTCTCATTTTCATAACTGATTAACAATGGCTATCATCCATAAAATGTTTATCATTATCACGAAGCTAAAACAAACCAATTTATCACACTCATCACCGCAGACAAAAATTTCTCGTCATGACAAACCCAGTGGACTTTCAAAGACATTTCTGGTATACAGACACAGCATAATCCTCTGAAAAAAAAATTTGCAAGCTTTATTTTCAAGATGCAAAGACATTAAATGTAGCATCCTAAACAATTATTACATCCTAACTATAGAGCACAATTTAATCTTTGTGTTTACATATGAAATATCTATTTGAATCAGTCAGGAACAGGTAAAGAATTTCTGATATGGGAACATACATATGCGGCACCAAAATAGTATTGTCTTAATATGCTTAAAAGCCTATTAAAAACCATAGGTGTTCGGCGCGTTAATTGGTCTCTACCTACCCTCCCCCTGGGCCCACACCCCTCCTAACCCACTCTACAACCCTCCTAAATTTCAAAACCATGTAAACAATTAACATGTTTTAATAATTGGTTTATTCTTTTAATTCAATTTCCTTCATCCCCCCAAAAAATTGATATATGAATATTTAGTAATAAATATATATGTATCATTTGTTCTTATTAAAAGCATATACCAAATATTAAAACATGTTACAAATGAAAAATACTGCAGTTTACATAGTTTTGAGATGAAGGAGGGTTGTAGAGTGGGTGGGGGGGGTGAAGTGGGCCCGGGGGTAGTGACCAAGCAACGAACCAACCACCTATGTTAAAAACCACCTTTGAATGAAAAGTAAGTTGAAAAGGGCATTACTCCAAAATAATAAATTTCAGAGTTATGCCCCTTTTCTAACAATAGAACCTTGTCATGATAAATAAGCTTTCCATGTTTCATATTGATACATAGGGAGACACAGGCAAAATTGTCATTTCTTAGTTTTGAATTTTTCATTCATTATTCTGTAAATGCCAACAAAATGAATAATTTAGACAGTCAAAGGAACAAAACTTTTCTCCATATAAAGAATAAAGTGGTGGATTCCTAACTTGACCCGCGTGGGTCAGGTTAGAGCTCTAGGATTTCACAATACTTGTCAAAGTGAACTCTGGAAACGTTAAAGAACATGTCAAATGAATGACTTTGGCTTGTTTTAATGATACAATATCCACAGTATCTGTTATTGTAACTTCAAGGGTTTGTTCAAGTCACCTGACTTGTTTTAAAACTATTTGGTGATTCTATTGGCGTCTAAATTTTGTACAACATATATAGATATATTTACGCTTCAAACCCAAAATATATAGAATTCAAATAGAAATTCATGCTGAAACTTCGAGAAAAGTCATTTTAGCGTGATTTGAGCACCTAAGATCATTTTAATATTTTTGTCATTATTTTGCCTGAATATCCCTTTAAACTTTGGAAATGTTTGGGTAATGGACTAAATTACAGTTTTGCTTGACAAAAACGATGGCGATTAAAAGTACTCTGCTTTTTCTTCTGACAACAGTCGAGCTAAAATTGTGCAAAGCATATACACTGTGTTGTTACATTTTTACATAATTTACTATTGGACAAAAAAGCAAATAGAGGTACATGTACATATGACTTACTTGGTTTGTAGAACAGGTCACAGTTTGAGTAGTGCATGTACATATAGATCTATTTAAATGCACTGAAACCAAGAAAAAAATGTTCACTGTAAATAAAGGTATAATTACTGTACTCAAGTTTATAAGTATTGTACTGTTTTACATTGTATGTAGAGTGCACACTATAGCTTAAGGTCTTTAACATAACCCACTTTAAAATATAAACCGTCATGAATGCACAAATTTGATACTAATTGGTACTAATATATAGTCTCTTAATGAAAATAAATAAAGATGCTTTGGCTTTACACAAAGTAGATATGTTATGCTTTAAATTCTTCACACTTTAAGTAAACACACAATGAATATATTAAAGTGTCATTGAAAACTGGTTTATAATGTTCTTTTATTATAAATAAGACATGTTCATTAAGATTTAAGTATACTTCAATAAACTTTTCAATAAATTATTTTACTCAAGTATGAGCAAAGTCTATATCTTTTAATTGATTCATGTCACTCTAGATAATTTCTTTTGAAAATGCATGTAAATTTAAAATTTAATATCCAGATGAATATATCCTTTAAAAATCTTAGATAAAATACAGTAAAATATTAGAGTAAATACTACTGACCTTTAACCTTTCCAAGTATATATGATAAATCATCATTTGAAGTTAGGATAAATCCATTGACATTGTGTGTTCATCATTAAGAATAATTCCTTTTTTTTATTAAATGCACTCTAGTTTCATATCTAGCTAAAATATGTATAAAGTTTAAAACGTAAATGTTTTTTTCATTCCATTCATATCCTTACTATAAAACATTCACCTGAGAATATTGATTAAATAAAATGATGTCTATTTCACCTGTCATTAGTCTCATAATCTATTTATAAATTGTTTCTCCAAGTTCATTTAAGGTTACTCAGTACTTGCTGTTGTTGTTATAAAGTCAAACATGAACACTCCAGACTTCAAGGTGCCATCACGTGTGACCACAAAATTGTCTGATTGTTTTATAAATATTTTAAAGTTTTTAAATTCTGTTTCTGGTTTTATATCACAACCTTCCATATATACTGTCACTGTATGTGGTAGTTTGTTTATAACAGTAATGAGATCATGTAACACTGAACAAGACATTGTTGTATAAATCAAGACAACACGTTTAATATTGATCATTTGAGGTGACAGTATTAATGATCTTTCACCTAGATTGATTCTATACAACCAAACATGTTTCACATGATATAACAATGATAATGTTTGTAACATTGTTTCTATGTCACTGGAAGATTCTAGATCATCACACCTAAATGTTTGTAGTTTACTGGCTGCTGGTAGTTGACTGAGATAAGATGACACAACACCAGGTTTATATAATTTACCTACAGTACATCTCTCTAACAATGATACATCCATGTTTAATTGTGACACAGGTATATAGCTCAATCCTAAATTTCTTAGTTGTGAATGTTGAGACAGGTCAAGGTTGAATCCCCTACATGAAGTATCATGATCACTACAGTTTAAACTGTACAATATTATTTCTTTCATTGATTTTTTACTAGTGAGGAACTTTAACAATGTCTCCATTACCTTGTGGGTCATAGTGAAACATTGTATATATAAACACTCCAGGTGTTGTAATTTTACTAGTCCTCCAATTATCTCTGCAGACAGCTGGCAATATTCTCCTACAAATTGATGATTTTCCCATTTACATGATATCACAGTTAAACATTTTAAAGGCTTCAATAACAAGCTCATTATTTCCTCTTCTACAATTTCACTTTGATAGAATAATTTCTCTATATGTGGAAGGTGAGAGAGTGTAAACAAACTGATAATTTCTTGTAGATTACAAATACCTTTATTTTCTATCATTATTGATTTTATGTTTTCTTTATTTTGTTGACACAGATTTTGTAATTGACTGAAGTAGTTTTGTTGTTGACAATTTTCATTAATGATGAAATCTTGTAAACACAATTTGAGGTCTTTGTTTTCCTTTCCTTCTTTGCTACAAGAAATGTACATGTCTTGAATGTCTTTTAATGGCTTTTTGTACATGTAATCATAACCTGCCAACGTTCTGTATTTGCTTGTTTTGTCATTATTGTTTATCACAGGCATTAAAACACTTGATATTGTAGACATTAATGTAGGGTTCATGCCACTAATAAAAACAAACACTTTTGACATGTCTAGAATATTTTGTAAACAGTTGCACTCTTCTAAGATGATTTTCTGAACTTCATTTGTATTTTGAAAACTTATAAATAATGCTGAAAAGTATTCTTGCACTGTTTTATGAGAAAATGAGATTTTAGAACTTTCACTTACTAATGTTTTCACTTTACTTTCTGATAGTATTCCTGATAGACAGCTTGATTTCAAATCTTCTTGGTTAATATATTCTTTAGCAACATTTCTATCAAAAACTAATGTGTGCTCCTTTTTCTTACTGAACAATGTATAAAAAGCTAGTTTCCCAATGGTCAACAGAAACGTGTAGTAACTACAGAAATGTTTATGTTTTCTGAAACATTCAGGAACGTTACTCGGGGATGTTTCACACGATGAATGAAATTTTCGATGTAACTTTTCTGTTCTAAATAGAAGGAGCTGAATAATGCCTGTATATAATTCTACTGCAGAATTTCCTATTGGAATTTTTGCAATCCATAAACATATAAGATAGAGTAACAGGAGAGGGGTGGATTCCATGTCTTCAATGTCATGGTCACTGATTGCTTCTTCAAATCTACAAACTTCATTTTGCAGTTCACCATCTTGAAGGTTCACATTCAACAACTTCATGGCATTACACTTAAACTGCCTGGCATTTTCTTTATTTAGTTTAACTAGCTCTACTGTTTCGACTATTTGACTCAAGTTTGACATTTCAAACTTCCATGGGCGGGTCGTTGTCAAGATTACACACTTTTCACGTGCATATCGATGTGGAATAATTTTAGGAACTCTTGTACAATCATTGTCAGGATGTGTCCATTCATCAAGTCCATCTAATATCACAAGACATTTTTCATCATGTAGAATGTCCTTTAATATACCTTTTGGCATTGAAGATGAGCAAGGAAGGTACTGTATGACTTGTTGTTCAATCATGTCGTCAACATCACAAACTTTAGCTGAATCTCTCAATAGCACTAGAAATAAAAACTCAAAGCCAGATAATGCCTTTAACTCTCCTTCTTTAAAATGCCCATAATTCCCATCCTTTTGATGAGCTTGACACCATGTCAAGGCAAGATATTTTGAAAACGCTGTTTTTCCAAATCCGGCGACTGCTGATAAATATATTTCCCTTGGAGATGTAAACAGGTCCTGTAACGACTTGACTCTACTTGTTTCTTTCCTTCCATCTGGTTGATACGTCTGTTTGTCAATTTCTGGCATAATGTAGAACCCGGCTAGAGGTGTAGGGAAAGCATCTGTGAGTGGTGAAAGAGGAACTGTACTCTGATTGGTTTTGTACCATGTAATAAGCTCATCCTTCAGTTCTGCAATAGAAATAATTGAAATATTATTATAATTCATTCACGTATCGAAATAAAAAAAAACGAAAAAAAAACATTGATATGCTTTCATTTATTCTAATGGTGTCAGTGTGTATACATGTTTTATAAAGTAATATGTCTCATTAATAAAAAAGAAGGAAACCGAAAAAGAATCGCTAAGAAATAAAATATATGAATTATTTTTTTACTATTCCTTAACAATACGTTGTATTCAAATAAATCGGACATACAAAATAATGTAAAAACTGATACAAACTGTATTCGTCTGCCTTTTTTTCAACTAAAAAAGCAGACGAACACAACTTTTTATTAACTTATACAAAAAATGTTACTGAAATTCACACAAAATGTCGCAAGTATACCTTTTTGAAGTATTCACTGAGCATCTCACTTAATATTTTACTTTATTCAATCTTTCTATAAAAATGAACTTTAGGTTGCCTCGGTCATTACTAAATTTGAAGTGCACCTAAATAAACTTTGCACTGGCTTTACTGTAATAAACATTATTAATAATATCTGTCATTATCGGGTGACCGAGGGACGGATATTCCGATCCGAACCGCAAACATATGTCAGATATTTTTTCTTGCATATTCTACCATATTCCATTATATTTTAAATTCTTTATCTTTATTTTCAATGAAAATTTATATCATTACAACAGTAACTACTTTCATTCAACAGCGTATGAATTACAAAATCATTCATAACGGTAAAATGACGTCATCTTTATCGTGCCATTGTACAGCACGCGACTCATCTGGAACCCCCCATGCCAGATGAAATTTCCGGCATGGGTAAAACTAACGGAAACGCCAGTCTTATATGCAAGAAAAGCTATTATTAGTACAGCTGACGTGTGTCAATGGAATTATTTATGGAACGCCATAGCTGTCTTATATACACACTTTAAAAAAGTGCTGTAATTTTGAGAAATGGTGATGTCGTTTTCAAATATGGTGATTTTGATAGACAGTGCTGTGTTTCTTATTTATTGTGATGTTGTTTTCATATACATGTATACTGATGTGGTTTGGACTGCGGTTTTGAAGCGGTTTTGATATATATAGTTATGTCGTTTTCATATAAAGTGATGCGGCTTATATATATGGTGCGTTTGTTTTTACAAGTAGATATTTGTTGATTTCTAATTTTATATGGAATTGGTGTAATGTTTTTGAAATATATTGATGTCATTTCTATAAGGGTGATGCTATATCGATATATGGTTAACATCTTTATTACGCTTTATTACGATGATGTTGAACTATTTATAGATGACCCGTTTGTTAACGAGGGAAAAACTGGTCTCTCACCGCGGTTATTTAGGTAAGCCACAGACAAGTGGAAACTCCTTAAATCTTAATAAATTATATACATGACAATCCTAGCACATACAGGTAGACGTTATATAACAATAAAACATAATTCTGCATTAATTATGAACATCCAATCATTGCTTTAAAGGAACTCCACTGAGGTCCAATAGCCTAAAATAATAAATTTTCAAATTCTTTCTTAAATAAACTGGTACATTTAAATTTGAAACCAAGCAATAGATGATATATAAATTTACACGGTATTAAATTGATAATCTATTTTTATGCGATTTTTGGCCTATTTGAGTGAAAAGCATTTAAACGGTTTTCATTCATTAAGCCAATTTGCACAATAAAATTGATTATTTCTGGGAAACAGAGTGAGCGAATGATCTGAAATTTTGTACATGAGTTATTGGTCTAGTTCTACTAAAGTCTTGAAAAAATATATGTACTTATATACGTATAATGACGCATAGGTATTTTTAGATTGTTCATCGCGTTATGCAAATGAGTTGATGATTCATTTGATGTACATATCTACCGTTCAATTACGATTGCAAAGATGTAAATAACTAGTCACTGTCAAGTATTTACTGTGTTATGTGTTATGACGTCACGTCCGGATTAACAACTTTAAAAACGCTAACGTTATTAAAAACGTAAAAATAAAATTATTTTACATCAAGTGCCTTAAAGTGATTTAAAGAAATTCAATTTGAAAGGCAATATTTCTCTGAACATATTTATACAAAAATGAAATAATTCGGCTGACATAAAGCGATGTTATGAGTGAAAACTATTGCGCTCGCCCGGAACAAACCGGAAGTGGACCAAATTATCATAGAAATAAATATGTTTGATCTAAACAAAGCTAGAGAATTGAGGAAACAACTAAAAGCAGCAGAAAGGGAAGGTGGTGGACTTAAAATGGAAGTGGATTCTAAAAATTGTGAAAACAATGATATTAAAGAAAATCAAGTTTCTACCATATCAAAATGTGATGGGAATAACAAAAACAAAGAAAACTTTGAAAATGACAGGGAAAATCGGAATTACGAGCTTAATGAACTAAAGTCAATGAAGAAAAAATTAACAGCAATGGAAAGTGAAATATTTAAATTGATACATAAAGACGGTGGTGTAATCTTGAAATTCAATGCCGGTATGTATGATTTGTTTCGTATTTCCACAGAATCATATTTTACAAACTCTGATATTGGAATTAACTGTAAAAAAACTATTGCACATGATAAAGCTTCAAACAACGTTGAAACGAGATACAAGGTTTCTTCTCATAATTCTGGACACTATACTTTGAATATGTACCACACGACTTCGTCTTGTTTGATTAACGGAAAAAACACTAAACGTTTCCTAGAAGAAGATCTCCCAAATATAATATCAATGATAAAAACAAAACTATCCAATGAAAATTGTACCATTGACGACTTTAATGAATGTGTACGTGATATGATCATTCAGTACTTTAACGTAGAGAAACCAGATCAGGTCCAAACAGAGCCATCGGATTTACTCCAAATATCTGAACAGGAAGTTGGTATTTCAACGTGTATAAACACTGAAGAGGAAGAGGAAGGGATTAATGTAATTTGTCAAACAGAGTGTGATGATAATTTAAATTCAAGCAGTAAGGAATACTTACAACAGTCAACACAGACAACAGATGATAACTTTGAATTTCTGAAGTTAATTTATGAGGACATTTCAGAAATAAAACGACAACTTTCCAGCCATGTAGTAGTTTGTAACAACAAATTTTCACAAATGAGCGATGAAATTGTAGTTTTAAAAAAGCATCTAACTGTACACCATTCATTCACTGACCAAAATTTGGAAGAAATGATAAAGAAGCAAAGTGACATAAAATCTGAGGTACAAAAAGCACAAGATACTTTTCAAAGGCGTTTTAATGGAATCATAGATACATTAAAAATTATTAATGAAAAAAGTTATTCTTCAAAAACAGCGAGAGTTCCTTTGACGAATAAGGAAACGCAAAGCGATATCTTACAAACTGGCGCCACGTTACCAGCTTCAGTTGTATCACCGGCAGAATGTCTAGACAGGGAATCAACACAAGAAGACGGCAGCCAGGATATCATTATTGGGTCTTTTAATTCAACAATGAAGGAAAATTCTCCAAAATCTGGCATTTTTCCAAATAGGGACCGAACACTTCTGATTGGTGACTCCATCGTTAGAGGAATACAACCTAAAGGTTTAGATGATAAGGTCGATCGATATGTATGCAGCGGTGCCATTCTGACAGACATCGAACGTAAAATCAACCAACTAGATTTGACACCATACAAACACGTCATTATTTTTGTCGGGTGAAATGACGTCAGTTCCGGAAAACGCCCTGATGCGTGACATTCAAAACTGTTAGAGCTCACTCGCTCTATTCAACATCACAAATGTAAAGTGCATCTCTGCACGATTTCGCCGCGACTCGACGCTGATGTTACGTTATACACCAAAAATGTAAGGGACATCTGTATTAAAACAGGTGCTACACTTATAGACGCATATTCATCGTTCGTTTATGGTGATGGTAGCATAGTGAAGCACTATTTAGCTAGAGATGGGATACATCACAATAAATATGGATCCAAAACACTTGTGGCAGCAATAAATCGGTGCGTATACATCGTAAAAAGGAAATTGAATCATGCTAATGGAGAAATGCGGCCGAGATACAATGGAAAAGAAAACTCAGGTGCAGGCAGTCCGAGATACAGACATTATAATTTAAACAGACATGAAAAGGTTCACAACTTTTTTAGACCTAGGTTCCATGACCAAACTTCATGGAGTGAGACTTCACTTAATAATACTGATAATACCAGAACCGGAAGTGTATTTGCGTACGACAGAAGACCCGAAAGTGAAAATTGTTATTATGGACAGAATAGCGTCAGAATAAATAGGAATTAGGAAATATCCGACAGGCACTCAAATTTTGAAAATCAACAATTTGAAACATACAATTGTATTCATTATGAGGTAACTACTTATAAATCTATGTTAAAACAAGATCTTTATAGCGATTTTCAAACTTATATATCAATTCATAATGTATGTTACGATTTTATGTTGTATTCCACAATTGATATTTTACATATATGTTTAAATACGCGAAAAATTATCGATTTGATAGTAAAAGAACGAAAATTAATAGACACTATTGCATCTGGTTATCAAATTGTTACTTTTGAACAATCAGTGCCATACATTGAATACGGAAATGATGAATATAATTGCAAAGTACTAAATAATGTTACGCTCCATAAATCAAATTTTCCAGATAATAAATTGTTCAGTTCTAAGTTTGAAAAACGAGGTTTACATATTGCACACCTTAATGTTAATCACTTAATGCCTAAAATAGACGAAATAAAATACAATCTATTAAACAAATTAAATTCGCCAGATATTTTCGGCTTTACTGAGACATTTCTTGGTGATGATACAACAGACGATGAATTAAATATTAACAATTTCACACACGAAAGAAAGGACCGTAAAAGTTGTCAAAAAGGCGGGGGAGTTGTAATATATATTGCTGACAAGGTGCCATATCGGCGCCGTTACGATATAGAAACGGACGAATTAGAATCTGTTTGGTTGGAAATT